TCCTACTTTGGTTAGGTTTAGTTTAAATCATTGCTATTTTTTGTCTGTCGATTTTCTCAAAAAGCAACCGAACTGAACCAATAAAATTGATGCTCACTCCTAAGTGCATGAACAGTAGGCTCTGAGACCTTTTTCAACATCTAAAGTATCTACTCATACTATTCTTGAGTAAAAGTAGGCGCCATAGTCTGCTCTATTTCATTGGCCCCATTAGTAGCTTCATTTTTTACTAGACCAGATTTGTTTTCTTGAGAACATTTGTTTTTATTTCCCTTGAAATTATCTAGAAATTCGATCATCTCATAGCAACTTTCGTTAAGGTATCCCCCTTTGTGACAATGGGAATACTCTAGTGAAGAGTTACCACATCCGTGACCCCTTTCACATCCTTATCCTCTTCCTACAGCCATTACACTTCCTTCAATTGGAGATGACTTGCTTGATCTAACAATAGTTCTTTGTATCTCATCTTCCATAATCATATTATAAGCTTGGTTTACAGGGGGAAGGGGAGATATTAGGAGAATTTGACTTTTTGCCTAACCATATGACTCACTGAGCCCCATAAGAAATTGCAGGAGATGTTATTACTAGACTAAATCAACATAGACCTTTGAAACATCACATTTGCAAGTTGGGATGGCAATTAATGCTAATTGTTCTTCCCATAACTCTTTCAACTTTGTATAATAGGCTGAAATAGGCATAGAACCTTGAACAAGGCCATTGATCTCGCAATGTATAGCAAAGATTCTTGATTCAGTGACCTTATCAAAATTCTCTTTTAGATATGTCCACACAGAGAACGTGTTCTGTGCGTATGCAAGTCCGTTTGTTAGATCCTTCGACATTGAGTTCAGCTGCCAAGATAAAACCATATCATTACATCGTTCCCATTGTGGACGAAGAGATGGTTCTTGCAACTCCTTTGTATAAGTACCATTAATAAACCCTACCTTATTCTTTCTAAGTAACACGATTCTCATAGATTTGCTCTAGATTGTGTAGTTTTCTAGTCCAATGAGCAAGTGAGGCACAAGAGATGCGACTTGTGTGTTTAAGGGATGCAAGTAAAGGCAATGAGTGAAATCAATGGTGCTGCTAGCATTCTTGTCTTCAGCTATAGTTGGATCAATGGTGATTGAGAATATCTTTTTATAGAGTTGATATAGGGAAAGCAAGAATTGCTTATAAGAGATAAGAAGGGCTAGGGCTTAGTCGAAGGAGATGCACGATAGGGAAGGTGAAATTAGGAAACTTTCTAAAGGCTTCAACAATACACCATCAAGTTTTATGGAACACAGCGTTTTGTGTATATCAAACTACTTGTTGCATCTGCAAAATTCTTGAGGCTTGTGGATTTGGTTTTTTTATTACTTGGTCCAATTCTTGTAGTCTTGAAAGAAAACAAGCTTGGAGAAAACACTCAGGCCCAATTCTTTAAAAAATGACTGGAGTTCTTAATTTTCAAGGCCCACACAAACCTTGCTGATGATACCATGTTGAAAATCAATAGATCACTTGACCACACCTAAGGAGATCTTGCAGTGCAATATTGACTTACTGGAAAACTCTATTCCATTAAAGAGTAAACCTGATACAACAAGTATATATACATAATAAACTGGAATAAACGACATGTGGCATAACTAACTAAAACCACGAGACCAAAACGACATGCACACACTAGCTTATATATCCTCAATATACCCTTTTTTATTTCTTTAATTAGTAAGGCATGGTAGTTTACCAAATTAAAGCAATAGTTAACAAAGATTTCATATTTATACTAATGTGTATAAATGCATTGTTGATTAGGCTATGAAAAGAGTTAAAGCTTTAGTCTTGGATTTGGAAGAGCCTAGAGGCAATATACTGAGGATCGATGCTTTATCACAAAGGAGCAATCTTAGATTACTCATTTTGTAATGTGAAATTTGTTGGAGATCTCAAACAATCTTTCAAGAAAGTTACAATATATTTCATGGTATCAATATCCTTTCGCTTGTTTGCCATCAAGTTTTCAATCTGATACACTTGTTCAATTAATTATGCCAGATAGCAACATTGCAAAAGTTTGGAAGGGAAAAATGGTAGTGTTATTGTTCTTTTTCATTATTGTTGCATGTTATTAATAAACCTATATAGGAATTGAATTAGTCAATTAAATCAATGATTTATATAAAATCAAAGCCAATCATCTTTACTACTACTCTCTTTCTTATAGATGCTTCCTAAGTTGAGAAACATGAATTTATGTGGCTCCAAAGCTTTGATCTAGATGCCTGATTTTGAAGGAGTTACAAATCTTGAAAGACTTGACCTTGAAGGATGTGCTAGATTATTGCAACTTCATCCATCCATTGCTAAGCTTTCAAAGCTCAAATTCTTAAATTTGAGAAATTTCATTAATCTCATCATCATTCCCAATTGTTGATTTGCTCAAGAACCGAACTAAATCAATTGGAAAAAAAATTAAACATATTTCAAATTATAGTGAATTGATTGGTTTGACTCCATTTAATTTTTTTCTCAAAATCAAATTGAACCAAGTTTGTAAACACTCTTATTGTACCAATAGTTGCATGATATTGTATTATAACTCAATCCTTAAATTTTAACTTAGTTACACATACATATAGGGAAGCATTAAGTATTTTATTCCTTCAAACAGCTATCAAAAAAATTAAATTTTAAAATCTCCTTCACTTATTATCCTGCGGAATCATCTGGTTAAAGGCTTGTCTTCATAACTAGATTTATACCCCGTGCGATGCATGAGAATGTTTTGATTTTAAAAAATAAAAATAAAAATAAAAATAAAAATAAATATTAAAAATTTATTTTAGTATTTCTAAAATAAAATATATTACTTTCTCCTCTATTTTAAGAATCACAAAATACACAACATATCTTCTATTTTTAAGTTTTTATTTATATTCATTTAACCATTAATTGACAATTGTTGGAGTAAAATTTCATCCTAGATATATCAATATATATCGTAAAATATCATTACATGATTTTTTTAAATATAAAAATTTTATTATTTTTTATATCTTATTTAAATTTTTAAAAATAAATATAAGCCCTACACTCACAATTTTAATGACAAGTTCTCCACCCACTTTTTTATCATGAGTCCACACTATATATATATATATATATATATCTTAACAAATTATTCACTAGCTATTAAAAAAAAAAAGAGAAAAGCACTGTTCAAAACACTGTAGATTTACAGTGCTTTGAACGTGCTTTACAATGTATATTGATGACTTATCCAAGGCAAAGTGGGACGCCGCTTGAACCGAGGGGTAAAAAAATATGTCCAAGTCCAGAAAAGCTGTCTCATAAAGAAACACCAACATGATAAGTTAAAAAAAACATATTTACGTTTGTGCCTTCACGTGAACACATATTTCAGACAACAGTCAACAGTCAATATCATATTACCACTCTGTTGGCGCGTCATTATTTGTGGACTGGGGAGCAAAATGCTCGTTACCAGCTTCGGTCCCATCACTGACCTTTTCCATGGAGGATTTCAAACTCATCTTACCATCAATTTTTTAAAAAAAAAAAACAAAGAATCAAACATACATTTTTTATATATAATGAAAAAAACCACACCTAAAACCCAATATATTTTGAATTGTTTCTATAAATCCAAAGATTTCAAATGCAAATTTATTTTTTCATAAAAAGACATACTTGCCTATAAATACAGGATTATATATAATAAATGAATATTATATTGTTCATATATGAATATTGTTATAATTTTTTATAGACATTGTGATGTGTATGTATTTAAAAAACTTATATATTATTGGTTAACTTATTCACATAAATTATATATAATAAATAGATATAGTATGTTATTCACATATGGACACTGTCATATTCTTTATAAATATTGTATTGTGCATGTACCTATCTTTTCACAAAGTAACACATTTGCCTTTGTTACATTTTTATTATAAAGGACATTCGTTATTATTAAGTTATTTTTCCCTTCTATTTATTTTTTATTTTTATTTCATTTTTTTATTATCAAACGGGTCCTAAAAGAAACGCACATATCTTTTCTTCAATGTCATTATTAATATAAGAACTTAAAAATTCAAAAGGTGAATGGATAAGAGAGAGAGAGAGAGATATATATATATATATATATAGTGGGGTTGAATTATTCCAAAGGAAAAGTTATTGGCAAAAACAGTAATTGGCATTTTGAGTGTGAAAAAGACGCTTCAAATTAATGTTATTATGCTCTGGCCGAAAAAGAAAGGAAAAATCACACTTAGGTCTCATATATGAATTCTAATTTTTAAAAAATCCCATGAAATAAACAAACGAGATTAATTCTCTCAATTAATTATCAAAATGGGCATGCAAGCTGGGTTCTCTGTCTTTCAACTGTTTACCCACTGAATCACACGGCTTATTAACTAAAGTAACCTCACAGTCCACAGAAGAAAAGGTGTATTAGAAATCGATAAATTTTTAATTTAATTCTCAATCAAAGGCGCACCCACTCGTCATATCTCTTTCGGTCTTTTCCAATATTCGCAGGGCCATTAAAAGATCTTCAACAGCATAGTGAGCAACGGTGACTCAAGGTTCCTGACCATCAAGGCCGAAAGGCTTTAGGCAAATGGAGAGTTTCATTAGTGGATCATCATCAGGCCGATCCATGTGTATCTGAGTTTCAGAGGAGATGATGAGACTTGCAAATTCACAGATAGGCTTTGGGTCTTGAAAGTAACGATTTGAATACCCTTTTGGGATGACAAGAAGCTTGAACCCAGTGATTCCATCTTTCTTCCACGTCACTTTCTCAAAGCAATTCGACAATCCAACATTTCCATTGTTGCCTTCACCAAAAGCTATGCTTCTTCCGCATGGTGCCTTGAGGAGCTCTGAGATTGCTGCGCACATTCATGAACCACGATACAATGTTTTCCCGATTTTCTATGGTGTAGATCTAAGAGGTACAAAATCAGAGTAATTTTTTTTTGAAAAAGCTTTTGCTGAACGTGAACAAAGGTTCACATCAAATTTACGCAAGGTGCAAAGCTGGAGGTTGGCAACGAAGCGAGAGGCCAACATCTCTGGCTGGGATGTACAATCTGAGTAAGTAATTTGCTTGGTTTTCTCTATATCATAACTTTCATGTCACTATGAACAAATTATAGAGGTTTTCAAGTAAATCTTGATCAATTAGTAAAAAAGATTGTGGACTAATTTGGTTCTTTTATTGTTTTTCCTCTGTTCAGCTCAAGACCGCAAGGTATTGATGACATGGTTGGAGAGGTCAAGAAAAAAAATGCGTGAATTAATTTATGCCGACTTTGACCTCGTGGGAACACAATCTAGAGTGAAAGAAGTAGAAAAGCTTCTAGACTTGGGTACAAATGACGCAGTTCGAATTGTGGGCATTTGTGGTATGGGTGGAATAGGAAAGACAACTCTTGCCAAAGTTCTTTATGATAAGATCTCTCAACTTATTGATGCTACTCGTTTCTTAGTTAATAGAGATAAATTTGATATAAGCTTGAGTCTAGTACATGGCAAGAACATTCTTCTAGTTCTTGATGATGATCTTGCTATTTATGAAGTTCTAATACCACTAATTCAAGCTATAAAAACTAGCTTGTTAGGTGAAGGGAGTAGGATCATTATAAATAAGAGATGAAAGAGTCTTTCATGTGTTTGAGAGGCACAGTATTATAGGGTTAAATTATTGACTCAAGATGAAGCTCTTCAGTTACTTTGTAGAAAAGCTTTCGAAGTTATTTTCACCTGATAGGTCACGAAGAGCAATAAATTATGTACTCAAATATGCTAATAGCCTTCCATTAACAATTGTAGAATTGGGCTCAACTTGTATAATAGGAAACCTTCAGAATGGGCCATGATTGACCTTGAAAAGGTTGCTAACAATGTTATAATGAAAATCCTGAAAAGAAGCTTTGATGAACTATACTACATATGAAGGAAGCATTTTTAGACATAGCATGCTTCGTCATAGGGAAGGAGATTAAATTTATAGAAGGAATTTTGCGTTCTTTTGATTTTCTTGGGTTCAGCTTTCAGTTTGAAAAATCACTCATCACCATTATAGATCAAAAAATACAAATGATGCATAGTTTGCTTCAACAAATGGGGAGAGAAATTGTTCAGCATAAATTCCCTTCTGAGCCAGAAGAGTGAAGTAAATTATGGAACTTCGATGATATTTATTGTGTTATGCACGGTAACAAGGTAAGTTTTGCTAACATATTGTTTGGTTGGAACATCAACATTAAAGTAATCGCTTTACATTATTTTTATATTTTGTATATATTCACAGGCTACTTTTAAAGTTGAAGCTATAGTCTTGGATCTAGAAGATTCACAAAGGAGTCAGCTAGGGATCAAAAATTTATCACGAACCAGCAGATTTAGACTGCTCATATTTCGTAACGTGAAATTTTCTGGAGTTCTAAAGCATCTTTCATATAGGCTCCGATATACTTCATGGCACCAATATCCTTTCACTTCTTTGCCAACATATATTTTTTATCCATATTCTCTTAGGGAATTCATTTTGCCTGATAGCAGCATCACAAGCATATGGGATGAAGAAAAGGTATACCTTATAACTCCATCACAAGTAAATGGAAACAACTCATTTATAAGAAACAATCAAAATATTTTTTATTAAATGATAAAATATATGATTTTATTTAATACATTGTAATATATTTTATACTTTTATTTTTATTTATACATGTATATACTCCCTCCCGTCCTAATTTTATGGAAAAGTTTTAAAGCCATATTTGGTTATAGATATAGGGAAACATTGTAATAAATTTTTCCTTGATATTATCCCTCTTTAATTACACCAAGTTATAATTTGTAGACACACTTTATTGTGGTCAGTAATTTTAGTGAAGAGCAAAATTGAAAAGTCAATTGTTTTTTACAAGTTTAAAAATATTAACTACGATATCTTAAAAATCATGAAGTCAGATAACTTTGCCAAGAGCATACATATGTTTAAGTGTTTGTGTGTGAACTGTGAATTTCTCTGAAAAACTTTTACCTCCCTTGCTTCTTGCTTCGTTTTCAGGTATCTCCCCACTCACAGTTACCAACACACACTGATGTCCGCCATTGGAGACGAGAAAAGGTAATGTTAACTGTGCGATGCACGTCCCTCTAACTTGCATTGTACAGCTGATTGTCAAGTACACTTTTTTCATTCGCAGATTTTCTATTGCTCGAGAAACATGAATCTTTGTGGCTCCAAAGATTTAACCAAGATGCCGAATTTTAAAGAATTTCCTGAACTTGAGAGGCTAGACCTTGAAGGACAATGCACGAAATTGTGAAAGCTTGATCCATCTGTTGCTCATTTTTCAGAGCTCAGATTCTTAAATTTGAGAAATTATACTAATCTTGGTAGTATTCCAAATAAGTTATTTTCACTACCTTCGTTAGAAATTCTAAATTTGACTTGTTGCTCCAAGTTTGTTAGTTGTCTTGACTTTTTTCTCTTGAGGAGGTTGGTGAAAGAGAAATTATTCAGCAATCATTTCTTCAGAAAAGACAAAAGCTATGTAGAAACAAATCTAAGTGCACTATGGTACTCAAAAAATGATTGTATAAGTAATTAATCGAGCTTGTTTACCAAAGATATGATCCTCTCTTTCTCTTACTTCCTCAACTCTCTTCATATTTATTTCTACATTAATACTCTGTATAATTAAATTTCTTACTTACTGTTAAGTGTTATGAGGAGCATCCTCTATCATGCCTATAGAGAAGGAGACTTAGGGCTTGTTTGACTCTGTTTTTTTTGTTTTTATGTTTTGAAGACAATTCCGTACAGTAATATTTTTAGAATGAGTTTTGAAAACAAAAGATGGAACAAAAAAGTGTTTGCATCATTGTTCTGGAAAACATAGACTCCTTCTCTTAAAAAATATAAGATATTTTTTTGAGGAGTTGGATGTTTAAAAATGTAAGGCATTTTTAATCTTTTAAAGTGTAATTATTGTCTTTTTTTCAAAAGTGTCCTAATTAATAATGACTTTATGTTTATTGTAGAGTGTTTAATAGGGATAAATATAAAAAAATAGAGTTAGTTAAAAAGTAGGTAACTACTTTAATGGGAGTGAGATTCGGTTAAAAATGCCTTACATTTTATATGGAGGGAGTATAAATTAAATAGTGAAATAAAGGGGGGGAATAATTATTTATTTTATTAACATAATTGTCTTTAATGATGTTTGGTGAGTTTCCACTCGAGTTTTTGGAGCAATGCACCACTTGGCACTAAAGGTGTTCAGCTTATATCCGTCTCGATTTGCCTAATATTATTCCAATCATATCAAGATAGGTCTCTTCCTAGCACAAAACAATCGAGACGGGACGGGACAATGGATTACTATTAGGACGTCCCATCCCATCTCAAATATTATATATATATTATTTTTATTTTAAAAATATACATTAATATATTAATATAATTTATACTTATATTAATTATATTAATTATATCAATTATAATATCAATACTTGCAATTCTTATATAAAATTAAAGTTTTTTATATTGATGATTTTAATGATATAGAGTAAACAGGATGATATATTTCTTTATAATGTATTAATTACATTAATATAATTTATTCTTAGATCTGTCTATTTAATAACTTTTATTTGTATCATATTTCTTGTTTTATTTTTAGAAGAGTAATTAATTTAGCATATCTCAACTAAAGTAGAAGAACAATAATTTAATGTTGTATTTAGCTTGCCTGTTGTTACTGCTCTTATAGCTTAGAGATCACTTATAATTGCTATCATAATATGTAATTGTGATTAATGCGATTTAATAATTAATTTTAAATTATTGTGATTTATGTACTTGTATTATTTTGATTTTAAACTTAATAAATTATATAATTTAAAATTTTAATAAATATTATTATTCATAATTTTTTTGATATTGTCTAATTTATTAAAACGACGAGATGTTCATATCTCGTTTCGCCCCCATCTCAATTTCTAACGAGACGAGACAACTTTTGAGATAGAACAGGACAGGACATAAGATAAAAATTTAATCTCAATTTTTTTTTTTGGGACTAGATACGAGACAAGAATGTCTCAGTTACATCTTGTATTGTAAACACCCCTACTTGGCACTTTATGGAGAGGGTTTGTGCCACGGTGAGTACTCCAAGATTCACGGATGATGGGTTATGACTTTTGGACTTGGTCACCACTTTCATTAAGCTGTTGAGGTCCGGTCTCTTAGAATTATCTAGTTGGGTTAAATTGAGGAATTCTCTGTGTTGGGCCTGGTATAGTAATCTGGCCCACTTCTCCTTTTTTTGTCCAAACAGATGAAAACATGATATTTTTTTAGTTTGGTGGAACAAAAAATATTAAATATTAAAAAGATGTTCTAATTTTTTAGTTTTTCAAAACAAATTTTAATTTTTTTATTTTTCAAAACAGATAATAAAATAATATTTTTGAAACAGGTCTTAAAAAAACAAAAACTATTTTAAAAATAGGTAATCAAACAGGGCCTTACCTTTTTATCTCCATTTGCAATGATAAATAGATAATGATAGAGTGTTGTTTGTTGTTGATTAAAAAAAAAACAAATGAAATATTACAGTTTATTGTCATTAACAACAAATAATTCAAATTTTTGATATCTTAGAACACTCATGGTGCCAACATTGACTATTTCACAGAACAAAGAGTCCAGCTGATCAGTATACTTTAATTTGGTTTCGAATTTTTTATTACATTTCTTATTTAGGTTATATCCAAGTCTGTACTCCCATACTCTTTCATTTACAGATTCTCCCTAACTTGAAAATCTTGAATCTTAGTGACTCGAAAAATTTAGTTAATTAAGATGTCTGATTTGGAGGGGTTACAAATCTTGAAAGTCAGATCTCAAAGCGCGCGCGTGCTAGATTATTGCAACTTCATATCCCTCAATTGCTGTAATATCAAAACTCAAATTCTTAAATTTGAGAAACTGTACAGCAATTAATCTTATTAGTATCCCTAAGGCCTTCTTTTGTCTTATCATTTTGGAGATTTTAAACTGTAATAATTAAGCTAAGTCTTATTTTAAATTGATTATTGTTAAAATAGAAATGACAATTACTTTTTTCTTGAATGTGGACTTGTTCACTAATTCACAGCATTTGTTCCTCACCACTAGTAAATTAATTTTTTAGAGCTGTTAATAAGGGACTTAATTATTATTAAAATGAAAATGAAAATTTTTTTTTCAAATGGAGACTTATTGTTAAAAGAGTATATATATACATATAAGGAATATTTTTATCTTTTTATAATAAATTTTAATTACATTTAGATCTTTTGATCCTTAATTGTGATTTTTCTAATAAAAATAGAAAAGCAATATAAATAAATAAAACTCCTAACCTTAAATAAGTTTTATCTGTCAAATCCTACCTACCACAGTTCATTTATAAGCCATTAACTGCATGTAAAAATTAGACGATGATTTATTTTATTGCAAAACCTATATTAAAAAAACTAGAAGGGAGAATGACAAATAAGGATCTTATAAAAATATTAATATCAAGTTAGGATTTTTTAACACTGATATTCTCAAATTTTAATACTCTTTCTATCATGTTTTTACAAAATCCTTATTTGCCATTCTCACAAACTTGACATTCAATATGAAAATCGAATTTTATGTGGCCGCACCAAATTGCAACAATGGGGAAACGGGGATACGGTCATCAAAACTGCACGGTTTCACAGCAAAGGTTTGGCTTTTTCTTTTTCCCCAAAACCACAAGTTATTATTATAAGGATAAATGAGTAAATTATTCTTTAAACTTTAGGTCCAGTAATACTATAAATCTTGAACTTTTTTATTGTGCAAATTTTTTTCTCCACTTTTAAAAATAGTATAATCTAACAACTGCTATTAACAAAAGTTAATTTTAATCATTAATTGATCAGAAAATGACCTCAAAAATTATATAAAAAACCAAAAAAATTTTGGTCATTTTTTGTAATTTTTTTCCTTGTTTGTATTTTTTGGTCATTTATTATAATTTGTTGGTCTTTTTCTGTAATTTTGGAGATTCTTTTGCCATTATTTTCTCATTAATTAACGGTAAAAGTTAGCTTTTATTTGTGGCAGAACTTAGATTGCATCATTTTCAAATGTGAAGGAAATAATTTATACAACAAAAAAATTTGTGGTGCTACTGAATCTAAAGTTTAGAGAGATAATTTGCTCATTTATTCTTATTATAATAATAACTAATTATTATAAAATTATTATTATTATATCAAATAAATAAATAAATTCAAACGATTAAATTTGACCTCAACGTTTTATCATATATAAAATTTGACTTACATAGTTCAAAACCATATATTGAAAAAATTAGAAAAAAAGATGACCTGAGCAATTTAGAATGGGAATTTGGTTTAGAAGAATGAGCTAGTTCTTCATAAAACAATGAATCAAAGTTTAAATTTCTACTAAGAGAAATGTCTACGTTTAATATTTGACCATGAACAATATTACCTCAAATAGATGGACACTTGCTGTCTCTTACTGAAATTATCCCTAATATTTTTTAATACCTGATTATTATTATTATATTGATGCCTCGGCACCAATTATTCCATCTTTTTCATTCATTGGTGTCCTAATTTCTTCCACCAAGATCTGCAAGGACAAACATATCTAATCTGAATTATGAGTTCGAGCGAAAACCGGCAACAAGTTGATAATAAAAAAAGTAACGGAGACTAAATTATGGGCGAGGCAGGTGAAGGAAGCTTCAAAGAACTCACCGCAAATAAAATATTCAGAAAATGGGGAAATAATATATATACTCCCAATTACCGTGCCTAATATTTTCATGTTTTAATTTAATTACTCCATTTGTCTTTGAATATAAAGTGTTTTTAACTGAATTGTGCATGCTAATCAAAGTTTGTTATTTAATTAAAATCACATTAAATCACAATAATTTTTCAATTTTACCCCTATTAATGTCAATTAATATCATGGTAGTGGTGCATAAAGAACCCAATTAATAGCTCTTTTTTTCTTCAAAACAATGGCAAAATTGTCTAATTAATCAAAAATATCATGATGCCTTTTATATTTAAAAAAAATAAACTTTTAAAAATACCTTATATATAAGGAGAGAGGGAGTAATTCCACTTACCAAAACCTAATATAATAAACTATATAATTAAGAGCACTAGGGGTTGTTAAGGTGGGGACTAGTGGGATTTATGCACCCTCTTAGACTAATCAAAACTGCTCATTTATTGGATCAAAGTGTTGGATTTGGCCTCCCTTCATATATGGAGAAAAGTCCAATATTCAAGTCCATTATAAATCTTACTTACTAAAGTGCAGAAGGTTGAGATTAGGTCAAGTAAGAGAGGTCATATTCATGATTAAGGTGCATGCAACCATTTGAGAGAGAAGAAGAAAGAAAACAATTTTTATATATTCACAGGCAGTCTTGGCAAATCTACATTTGCGATTTTGTTAAAGCTAGACTAGGCTGAAATTTAGCCAGCTGGTTTGGAACGTTGAATCCGTAATTTTCAATGATTGGATTATTAATTTATTGCCTGATGTCAAAGTTATTT